AACCTGTCCGCCCCCCCCCCGCCCCTTCCATGCCCTTAGGCCAGTGATGGTGAACCTTTTGAGCTCAGCATGTCAGCATTTTGAAAAACCCTAACTTAACTCTGGTGCCGTGTCACACATAGAAATTTTTTGATATTTGCAACCATAGTAAAACAAAGACTTATATTTTTGATATTTATTTTATATATTTAAATGCCACTTAAGAAAAATCAACCAAAAAAATGAGTTCGCGTGTCACCTCTGACACGTGTGTCATAGGTTGGCCATCACGGCCTTAGGCGGCTCTGCCCAGGAGTCCTCCATATCCTGTCTCTTCTGCATTTGACTGGTTTGGTGATTTTTCCGAAATTCCTGCAGGATGCTCCTCCCCAGACCCCCGTGTATTCAAATTCTACCTCATCCTCAAGGCCCAGCTCAATGGCGCACCCCCCAGAGAGGAAGCCCAGGTTCCCCCCTGCCCCCCGGGAGTCACTGCCCCTCCACAGCTTTCTCCACCGGCCCCTCCAGCCCTCACATGCCTGGTCAGGTAGTTTGGGGCGCCTGCCTCTGTTCTACAAGACGGGGAGTCCCTGGAGGCCAGGCACTGTGTCCAAGTCCCTTCGGCTGCTCCCACCCTGCGTGGGCCCAGGGTTACCGGCGACCCATCATCCTTTGCGGGGCCGATGGGTGTGCTGGTGAGTAAAACCCTCTGCTGGCAGCAGTACGGGCACCTGTGCTGGCAGCAGACACGAGAGGCCCCTGGAAGAGCGAGCAGATGCGTGGGAACAACATGGCAAGAGTCTCCTCCTGCCCCCTCCACTGGGAGAACATTTCCTTTCAGCATCACGTAAGAAAGAAAAGGCTGCCCGGCCACCGTGGCTCAGTGGTTCGGCATTGACCTGGGAACCAGGAGGTCACGGTTCAATTCCCGGTCAGGGCACGTGCCCAGGTTGCAGGCTCCATCCCCAGTAGGGGGCGTGCAGGAGGCAGCCGATCCATGATTCTCTCTCATCATGGATGTATCTATCTCTTTCTCCCTCTCCCTTCCTCTCTGAAATAAATAAAAATATTTTTTTTAAAAAAATAAAAGGGCCCTAGCTGGTTTGGCTCAGTGGACAGAGAGTAGGCCTGCGGACTGAAGGGTCCCGGGTTCGATTCTGGTCAAGGGCACATGCCTGGGTTGCGGGCTCGATCCCCAGTCCGGGGGAGGGAGGTGTGCAGGAGGCAGCCGATCAATGATTCTCTCTCATCATTGATGTTTCTATCTCTCTTCCTCTCTGAAATCAATAAAGATATATTTTTTAAAAATAAAAAATAAAAGGAAAGACTAATTCCTTCTTCATCGGTTCCTGCCAGTGGACGGCCACCCTGGGCCTCCCGGGCTGAGGTCTTGAACACACAGGACCCCATGCCCCGCCATGGGTGGCAGCATCGGGAAGCAAGGCCAGGGAGAGGCCTCCCTGCTGAGAACTTGCCTGGGGGGCAACGCAGCCCCCGGGCACCACGAGGACACGAGGGGGGCACAGTTTGGCTCCGAGCATCCCACCCCCCCCGAGCCAGGAGGCGTCTGGACACCACTGTTTGCTTCGCTTCCCCTGATTTATGTCGTGCGGCCGGGCCCTTCTCGGCCCGATTTATGACCACCTGCCCCGGGGAACATAAATTACTGCCTCACGGCAATTTAAATCTCATGGGCGATAGGAGAAGACACCTAGGCTGGCTGCTCTGTCTCCTGGGGGCTTAGGAGCAATGAGGGGGGCCTGGGGGGGGCGCTGCGGAATTTCAGGAGAGCGAGCTGGTCCCCGTGACCCCGTGTGCCCCCCCTCGCTCTGTGTTTGGATCAATGGTCCTCTGTAAACACAGGCTCCCGTGGAGGGGGAGGGGGGCGCCGAAGAGTCGGAGGAGCAGCCCAACGCACGGGGTCTCTCGGGAGGCTGTGCCCGCCACGGCAGGCACCTCTGACATCCACAGGGGAGGGTGCCGGGCGCCAAGGGACATGCCGGTGGCAGAGAGAACCTGACGTACAGGAAAGGATGAGGGTCGGTTCCCCCAGTGGCTTGGCTGGTGGGACACAGAACCATCCAGTTCTGCCCTGCCTGCTGCTTCATGGAGAACAACACCCAGAGCCCGGCCTGTGTGGCTCAGTGGTTGAGCGTCGGCCTATGAACCAGGAGGTTACAGTTCGATTCCTGGCCAGGGCCCATGCCCAGGTTGCAGGCTCAGTCCCCAGCAGGGGGTGTGCAGGAGGCAGCGATCAATGATTCTCTCTCATCATTGATGTTTCTGTCTCTCTCTCCTTCTCCCTTCCTCTCTGAAATCAATAAAATATATAAATATTTTAAAAGAATAGTGCAATGAATCCACAGTTATCACCCAGATTCTATTTATCAAGATTTTGACACATTTTTTTCCCATGTTACTTTTTGTTGTTGTTAATCCTCACCCGAGGATATTTTTTCCATTGATTTTTAAAAATTTTTATTTTAGAGAAAGTGGGCGAGAAAGAGAGGGAGGGAGAGGGAGAGAGAGAGAAACATCAATGTAGACACATCGATTCGTTGTCTCCTGCACACCCCTGACTGGGGCTGAGGATTGTACGTGCCCTTGACCAAGAATCGAACCTAAGACCCTTCATTCCATGGACCGACGCTCTAACCATTTAGCAACCCAGCCAGGGCTCCCATGTCTTTTTTTTTTTTTTTGCTAAAATAATCTGCAGCACATCCCAGACATCATGTCACTTCCCCACATCTTCTTCCAAACATATGGACGTGTCTCGCATCCCCACAATGCCATTATCACACCTAAAACATTCTGGTATCATCTAATACTCGGTCCGTGATAAAATGTGCCAAAATAGCTAAACAGCGTGAGTCTGTTTTTTAATTGGTTTGTTTGCATCATGAGTTCTCAAGGAAAAATAAAACCATGTGTGCAAGCAGGCACCCTGGGGACCAGCCCCCATCCCCCCGCCCCAGTATTTCCCAGATCCCAGTCCCTAGGGCCCATCAGCTCTAAGGCTGTGTGTGTGTGTGTGTGTGTGTGTGTGTGTGTGGTGGCGTTTCACTGCTTCTTCTTAGAGATATTACAGCCCATTCCTACCTCTTCAGGGTCTCCAGCGGCTCCTTCCTGCTCATGACGCCCGTGTCCGGGTCCACGGTGGTTGAAACGCACCTGCACACACAGACACAGAGCATCACTCGGGGACGGAGGGGCCTTGTCCCGCCCCTCCCTGTCCCGGGCAGCGGCGGAAGGGTCTTACCTGGAACAAGCCATCACCCTCTTCAGTTCCACGTCCCCAATAAGAAGCTTGTGCCACGCATCCTAGGGGACAGGACGCAAAGGTCACGTGAGCACTCCGCAGCCCTCGCCCCGACGTGACCCTCGCATCCAAGATGGCAGAGTTCACATCAGTCCCGTGAAGACACGCCCCTTCCTGCCCCTCTCTCTGCCTTTCATGTGTCAGTTCATTCACCTGAAATGAAATGCTCCCTTTTCCTCTCACTTGGCAAACTGTGATGGAAGCCCACCTCCTACAGGAAGCCACCCTGATTGATGCTGCCGGACTCAAAGGGGCAGGGAAATAAGGGGGCAGAAGGAGTGGGGGAAAGCGAGGAGGGGATCTGGAGAGGCTGTGTCAGATCGCTTTGTGTGCGACTGAGGTGGATTAAGACCTTTCAGTCACTGCTCATGTGAGTCTGTACCTCCTCCGGCCGGATGGGGACAAATTAGCAGCAGGCCCAATAGCCATGTTCCCTTTGCGTCTGCACTGGAGGCTCACAAAGCGCCCAGCCCAGGACGCTCCCCTATGGCCGGCCGGGGTCCCTGGCGCCTACTTTTCAGGACAAATCAAATCAATGGACTGCGCGCCCTCCGACCCAGCAGGGTTGATACGACATACAAATGTGAAACACTGAACAGCCAGCGTTCTTTTTAAAAGTCCCAGAGACACGGAGGAAAGGCCTTAGAACAGCGGTTCTCAACCTGTGGGTCGCGACCCCTTTGGGGGTCGAACGACCCTTTCACAGGGGTCGCCTAAGACCATCGGAAAACACATATATAATGACATATTGTTTTTGTGATTAATCACTATGCTTTAATTATGTTCAATTTGTAACAATGAAAATACATCCTGCATATCAGATATTTACATGACGATTCATAACAGTAGCAAAATGACAGTTATGAGGTAGCAACAAAAAATAATTTTATGGTTGGGGGTCACCACAACATGAGGAACTGTATTAAAGGGTCACAGCATTAGGAAGGTTGAGAACCGCTGCCTTAGAAGGTCTCAGGGCAGGTGCTGGTGTAACAGTAGGAGGCAGCGTCCTGGGGGTTTAGAGAGCGGATCTTCAGGCTGCTGGGGTCACGGGAGGTTTGATGGGAAAGGTGGGATCTGAACTGAGTCTTCAGGGTGGAGATTCTGAGAGGCACAAGGACGCATGTGGGGGGGGGGCACTTCCGAGTGTCATTAGAAGGAAGGACATGGGAAGACAGGAACATCTGATTGCAGCCTGACCTTCCTACCCTCAGAGGCAGGCCCTCGGCCCGCAGCCTGAAGATAAAAGCCCGGAGTTCAAAGCGACCTGCCCGGTACTTTGTGGATCATAACCCCGAGGCAGAGCTCCACACTCAGAATTTTACCTCTAAGAGTCTACATTGCTCTTTTTAAAAAAATGTATTTTTATTGAGTTCAGAGAGGAAGGGAGACTAAGAGAGGGAGACAGAAACATCAATGATAAGAGAGAATCATGGATCGGCTGCCCCCCACTGGGGATCGAGCCCGCAACCTGGGCATGTGCTCTGGCCAGGAATCGAACCGTGACCTCCTGGTTCATAGGTCGATGCTCAACCATTGAGCCACGTTGGCCGGACAGTGTGTATTATTCTTGGTATGTGTATTTGCAGGTTTTTCTTTTAAATCAGGAAATGGGCCTCTGAACTGCATATTTCACCAACAGTCCAGAAAGCTGGACAGCTCGGTGTAGAGCAGCCCCAGCCTGTTCTGTGTACATTTCCCCACCAGGGGGCACTGACATCATATAAAAACATGAAAGATCCAAAGGGAGAGAAAGGAGTTCCAGTTAGGAAACCTAGTTTAAGCAATAGCCCCAGAGGCCCTTTTATGTGCGATGAAAACTGTTAGTTTCAAACTAGCTGGTTTGGCTCAGTGGATAGAGCATTGGACTGCGGACTGGAAGGTCCCGGGTTCGATTCCGGTCAGGGGTACACGCTGGGGTTGTGGGCTCGATCCCCAGTGGGCAGCGTGCAGGAGGCAACTGATCAATGATACGCTCTCATCATTGATGTTTCTGTCTCTCTTTCCCTCTCCCTTCCTCTCTGAAATTAATAAAAATATATTTTTAAAAAAACTGTTAGGAATTGATTCACAGGTAAATTAGGTAAAAAAACTCCACCATATCAGGAATCTATTTGGCAAAGGGGACGAAAAGGAGAAACTGTTGTTGGTTCAGTGCACACTGCGAGCCCAGAGCTGTGTTAAACGCCGGTGAAGAGCTCACGAAAGCCCTCCTACCAGGTCACAGGACCTGGAGGTGATCAGAGACAACATTTCCAAGGAGGGGGCTTGTAATCTGGGCTGTTAAAGAAGGCCAGGGGCGCCCTGACCAGGTACTTCAGTTGGTTAGAGCCCTGTGCCATGTACCAAGGTTGCAGGTTCGATCCCCAGTCAGGGCACATACAAGATCAACCAATGAATGCACAACTAAGTAGAACCACAAATCAACATCTCTCTCTCTCTCTCTCTCTCTCTCTCTCTCTCTCTCTTTCCTAAAATGAATCAATAAAAAAAATTTTTTTTTAAAAAAAAGGTCAGGTCAGGGGATTGTAAGTGGGGCAGAGGGCAAGATTCCAGGTGACCAGCAGGGAAGTGAAGAGGTAAGGGAGTGAGCCACGGAGATGTGTGAGGGAAGGTATGTCCGGCAGTAGCACCAGCAAGTGCAAAGGTCCTGGGGTGGGAAGGAGCCCAGTGTGGCTGGAGCAGAGACAGAGAGAAAAGAGGGGAGCGACAGGACACGGAGCCTGGAGCTGGGAGGGAGCGGGATCACACGGGGCCTCGACCGGCGCCGTAAAGATGCCATGTGTTCCTTGAAGAGAGATGGGAAATCAGGAGGGTGACAGGGAGGTGACTTACAGGCGCCCTCTGACCATGGACGATGGTGGCGTTGGTCAGGGTAGAGCAGTGATGGCGAACCTTTTGAGCTCGGCGTGTCAGCATTTTGGAAAACCCTAACTTAACTCTGGTGCCGTGTCACATATAGAAATTTTTTGATCTTTGCAACCATAGTAAAACAAAGACTTATATTTTTGATATTTATTTTATCTATTTAAATGCCATTTAACAAAGAAAAACCAACCAAAAAAATGAGTTCGCGTGTCACCTCTGACACGCGTGTCATAGGTTCGCCATCACTGGGGTAGAAGCAGGGAGAGCAGTATATGAGAGAGGATGGTGACATGGCCCACCCAGGGAGGGCGAGGAGGAGAACGGGAGGACAATGCCACCAGGATTTGTCCACCATTTGAATGTGGAAAATGAGAGAGAGAAGAAAAAAGGGGGGAGGGGTCCCAGTCTGGGGCTTGAGCAAGTACATGGGAGTCGGTATGTGGGAGTCAGAGCCACCAGGCACTGAGACGGGCCAGGCTGGGCGGAGCAGGCACTGGGGGACACTCAGCCTCGGTCTCGGACCTCCTGACGTTGAGATTAGCATCCACGTGGAACAGAAGGGAGCAAGGATGCTCGTTAGGGGTCTTCAGGGTGGAGAAGGGTCCGGAGAACAGGCCAGAAGCTTGCGTGGAGACCGAGGCTGCTACGCACTGAATGTATGTGTCCTCCCAGGATTCTGATGTAAAAACTGAGCCTCCAGCAGCCGCGGTGGGAAGGCCAGTCTTCCCCAAGAGGCCATCGGCCAACCAGCAAAGCACCTTCCACCAGACGGGAGCACTCCCCCCGTCCCTGTCCCAGGGTCCCACGCCTCACGGGCTCTCTGCTAAGGAAACCTGGTTCAAAAACCCATCTGCTTCCTGGGAACTCTCCTAGGACACCTCAGACCCGGAACTGCTCCCCAAAGCACATCTCTGCCTTGTCTATATCTGTGACCGCCCCCCCAACACTGATCGGGTGCACAGGAAATTGAAAAATGAACTGCTGTGCTGTGCAGGGCCAATAAATAATGCATCCTCAGAAATAATCTAATGTCACTTCAAAGACTCTCGGACCTTTAAAAAAAAGTTAAGTCCAAGGGAAAAGGCAAGGAAGGCTGGTGTTACCTCTGCGTAGACGCCACACCCCGAAATGACGATATTGGGCCTGAAGTTCATGGCCTGCACTTTCTTCTCCAGCCTGGAGTTGAGATCGGCCAGCGAAGCCTCGGACAGTATCAGGAGCGGGCTGGCGTCAGAGTAAGCGATCTGATGAAGAGACAAATTGTTCTTACACAAAGGATTTCGCAGAGGTCCGGCGGGTCTAGTCCGTGGGACCCTCCCTTCTCCCTCCCCCAATCTCTCTAAATATTTCTCTAGTTCCTTTTAAGTTTATTTTTATTGATCCCAGAGATGAAGGGAGAGAGAGAAAAACACCAAGTGCATAATGATGAGAGAGAACCACTGATCGGCTGCCTCCTGCACACCTCCCACTGGGGATCGAGCCTTAGACCCGGGCATGTGCCCTGACTGGGAAGCGAACCGAGACCTCCTGGCTCATAGTTCGATGCTTAACCATTGAGCCACACAGGCCGGGCCTTTTTATCGAAAAGTCACAGTGATTCGGAAGGCCTTGCAGATAACGGGATTTATATGATGGAGTGAAGTGGACATGAACTTGGGATCTTGGAGCTGTCAGTGGGCAGATGCCCTTGGGGAGGTCACTCCAGCATTTCAAGCCTCTAGTTTCTCACGTTTAGTAAGGCGGTTGGGCTCGACGACCTCATTGTGTGTGGATAAAAAATCATTCACCGATTCCACGGGTATTTATTTTTTATGCAACCTGCACATCAGTGTTAAAGACTCTTGCTGGCCCCAGCTGGTTTGGCTCAGCGGACAGAGAGTCAGCCTGCGGACTGAAGGGTCCTGGGTTCGATTTCGATCAAGGGCACATACCTGGGTTGCGGGCTCGGTCCTCAGTAGGGGGCCTGCAGGAGGCAGCCGATCAATGATTCTCTCTCATCATTGATGTTTCTATCTCTCCCTCTCCCTTCCTCTCTGAAATCAATTAAAGAAAAAAAAAAAGACTCTTGCTGACGGTGACTTGTTTAGTGGCCCTAGTAATGGAACTACACAACAATGTGCTCCCAACCCCACTGAGTCAGCCTTGTTCCTGGAAGAGCCGGTGTAGTCATTTTAAGTCTGTGGGTCGCCAGACACACACCCATGTGCCCCACGGTGATCTGACCCCAACTGCAAACTGTAAAAAGGCCAGACCCGGAGCATGAGCCTGCAGACTGAAGGGCCCCGGGTTCGATTCCGGTCAAGGGTATGTACCTTGGTTGTAGGCTCCTCCCTGGCCCAGGCCCTGGTTGGGGTACGTGTAGGAGGCAACCAACCAATCGATGTGTCTCTCTCACATCGATGTTTCTCTCTGTCTTCCCTTCTCTCTTCCACTCCCTCTAAAAATCAATGGAAAAACATCCTCGGGTGAGAATTTAAAATAATAATAATAATAATAATAATAATAAAAGGCCAGATGGATGCAGCCACAGAATGGAGCAGAAGTTACTGCCACAGACCAGTTCTGAAAGCCAGGCGCACCAGCAGGCTTATGTAAACAGCAAGGGGATGCTTGTGGCCAAAAATGCAGGCGTCTTCCCAATCACCAGGGTGGGAGGGGACCTGCCTGGGGGTGGCCGCTCGCCTGGTGGGGGGGCACCAGGAAAAACCACAGCGCTGAGCTCAGCAGACATGCGCCCCGCCCAAGGGGCTCTCAGCTCCGAGGAAGCCTGCCTCCCATCGGTCACCCGAGGGCCAAGATCAAGGGCGCTCTCTCACCTGGTCCGTGGGCCGGAACGCATCCTTTATCTCGTGGGCCTTTCTTGGTCGCATGTGAGGCTCGAAGTGCACCAGGCGGTAGGGCTGGGTCTTCAGGAAGCTGGTGATCCACTGGGCCGCCGCCTCGCCACAGTCCCGGCCCTCGATCTCCAGGTCGTGCACCCTGCAGGGGGCGGCAGGAGCTAAGAGAGGGCCTGGCTTTGCAAACCTGGGGCCCTGACCATGCCCCACCCGTATCAGAGACCCTGCCCCACCCTGTGACGTCACCGTCATCCCTTCATTATCAGGGGATGTGATGTTAGCCTGTCCCCGCTTCTGTGAATATCCACTTTCCCCAAAACCATTTCTCAAAGAGACTGTCCTTTCCCCAGCGATTACTCTTGGCTCTTTTGTCAAATATCAAGCGACTTTGTAGGCGTGGGTTTATTTCTGGGCACTTGATTCTGTTCCGTTGACCTGCTGTCTAGTATTTTTATGCCGGTAATGTTTTGATTATCGTAGCTTTGTAGTATGGTTTGAAATCAGGAAGTGGGTTGCCTCCAGCTTTGTTCTTTTTTTTTTTTTCCCCCTCAAGATTGCTTTATTCAGGGTAATTCACAGTTCTATGCAAATTTTAGGATTGTACTCTTCTATTTCTGTGGCAAATGTCATTGGCATTTGGGTCGGGATTGCACTGAATTTGTAGGTGACTTTGGGTAGGACGGACCAGCGGATTCTGGACATCTTTGCCCTGAGAATCTGAGCATTTCTCATTTGCAATTTCCAAACAGGTTCTGGTTTGGTCTTTGGGGCAGAGGCCAAAGCCTGTATGGGATCATGCAGACAGTTTTCACGCCATTGCAAATGGATTAAAAATTAAGTGACAGCCCTAACCGGTTTGGCTCAGTGGATAGAGCGTCGGCCTGTGGACTGAAGGGTCCCGGGTTCGATTCCAGTCAAGGGCATGTACCGTGGCTGCGGGCACATCCTCAGTGGGAGGTGTGCAGGAGGCGGCTGATCGATGTTTCTCTCTCATCGATGTTTCTAACTCTCTATCCCTCTCCCTTCCTCTCTGTTAAATATCAATAAAATATATTTTTAAAAAAGTAAGTGACAAAAATTTTCACCACAAAAAAGTATGGGTAATGATCTAACCGTGGCAAACAGGAGCCAGGATATAGACAGACGTGAAACACAAATTCCAATAGGCATATTAAAATGCACATTAAATCAACATGAAATCCCCATTTCCCCCATACAAATGGCAAAATATCTTTGACCGTAACGGTCAGAATGTAATGAGAGAGATATGCCCAATACATCGCTCGTGGCTATAGAGCTGGTATAACCATTCTGCAAAAGAATATATCCAAAGCTCAATAAGGCCCATACTCTTGATTCTAACAAAACCATTGCTAAATTTTCCCTCCTAAGGAAACAATAAGAGGTATTAACAAAGACTTATCTATAATAATAAAAGCATAATATGCTAATTAGACCGGACAGCCGAACGACCTTCCGGACGTCCTTCCAGATGTCCTTCTGGACGACCTTCCGGACGAAGCCGGGCCTGCGAGGGCTAAGGCAAGCCGCCACCGTGGCTGCGAGGGCTGAGCCCCTTGCACGAATTTCGTGCATCGGGCCTCTAGTGAAGATATTTAGCACATTCTTCCTCATACCTGGAAAAAAATGAAAAACAATTCAAATGTCTAAAAGTGGGGATGTGTTAAAATGCAGAAAGGAGACCCACAGAAGGCAACATTTTTCCAACATAAAAAAATGGTATTTGCCGAAACCGGTTTGGCTCAGTGGATAGAGCGTCGGCCTGCAGACTGAAGGGTCCCGGGTTCGATTCCGGTCAAGGGCATGTACCTGGGTTGCGGGCACATCCCCGGTGGGAGATGTGCAGGAGGCAGCTGATTGATGTTTCTCTCTCATCGATGTTCCTAACTCTCTATCTCTCTCCCTTCCTTTCTGTAAAAAATCAATAAAATATATTAAAAAAAAATGGTATTTTAGAAGATTTTTTTTAATATTATAAGAAAATATTTAATTTATCAACTTAAGTATATAACAGTATTCAAAACTCTGATTTTTTTTGAATCATTTCAATTTGGTTTTGAAAATATTAGCCATACTTTTTATGACATTTTGAAAATCTATTTATAGCTACACAACAATCGGTTTTGTTAAACTGTATCACATTTATACTTGCAAAAATTTATTTCATTGTTATTAGCAGGAATTTTATTGGTTCAATAAAATTGGCAAAACTGAAAAAAATAAAATAAAATTCTCTCTTGAAAAAAAAATATATATTAGCCATAGAAACAGAAAGGAAATATGGCAAAAAATTAACTATAGTTATTTCAGATGGGTTTTGTTTTTTCTTTTTTGTGGTATTTTCCAATTTTTCAACTATGACTATATATTTGTTTTATAATCAGAATAAAACACACCAATTATAACAGAAGCATATTATTATGTTTTAAAACTCCAGGTATTCTAGAAATTATATTGGTTATATAACTGGTTGCATCCTATGAACTTTCGGGGGTCTTGGACCTTTTCGGCTAACTACATTTTTTGATGTGACACGCTCTACAATATGGATTACCTTTAGCATTTCTAGTTAAAAATGCAACAACTGGAACAAACGTGTAATTAGACCACATTTTAATTTTCCCCACAAGAGGATAAAAAACCCATCTCTACGCCTGATTTCTCAGAAGCCATGCTAGTTTCCCCGGAATCACTGCTTCCTGTCGCCCCTCTGACGTTGGGGGTAGAGGGGCTCCTGGCTGACTCTCCCGCTCACTGGGACTCCGACCCCCGGTGGCTGCAGATCCCAGCTGCCTGTTTCTGTTCTGGAACCTCCTTTTATTAGGCCTGAATATCACAGGTCACAGAGCCATTTGTCCCCCTTCCCTCACTCACACTGGGAAGGTTCCTCGTCTTTCCAGGCAGAATAGGGCCAGTCCAAGGCCATCCATCGGTCTAATCTCACCTCTTCCAGGCCCCTCCCCCCAGTCACTCCCACCCCACGCTGGTCCTTCAGCCTCTGGGGGTGTCATCTGTCCCTCGCTGATGTCCCCTGGGTGTTCCAACACGGGGCTTCTATGGCCGTCAACCCCACATGAACACCCATTTCTGAACCTTCATGATCCTGAGGACGTGGGATCCATAGCTCATTGCTGACCACCTTTCTGGGGCTTCCCTCCGAAATTTGAACTTTCTCCAAACACTCGCGCCAGGGCTAGGAAAGGCCAGCAGCTTACCTGCACTTGAGCACGGGGTTGGTGGCGGGCGTCTCAATGGGCAGCAGCAGGTCCGGTGTGTAGGCTGCACTGAGGGTCAGGGTGTCCCCCTCGCAGGTCAGGGACACCAGCACCAGGCGAGGCTCCTGGCGAGCAGTCACCATGTTCCCCGCCTCGTTGATCACCAGCCAAAACCTGCAAAAGACGAGATGTGCATGGACCGCTGTGAAGCCACGGCCAGCGTGGCCTCGGGTTCAAAGACTTGGAGAAAGGGCTGACGTGCAAATTAAAACGCAAGACAAGAAATATAAATTTGAAATTATGGGGGAAGCCAGTTGTGAGCCTGGTTCAAGAGACCAAGTTCCACTGAGTCTCCGTTCCCATCTGCTTTTATTTACTAGAATACAAAATTGCCTTTTAGGAATGCCAACAGACATATCAAAGGTGATTGTTTAGGTAAACTAAGATTATCAGGTTGGGGGAGTCCGCTTTAGGCCACTGAGTCAGCAGTAGGTAATAAAATGCAAATATCCACCCTGTGAATATCAAAGAGCCCAATTCAGCCTTCTGACCAGACTTCTCCATTTATATTAATTACTACTGATATTGGTTCTCAGCAGACCGCCATGACAGGCTGCCCGTCTGCAGGGCCTCTGAATCCCTCCCCATTAGCCTGCTGTGTGAGTGATTGTGTGGGTCTGTCCGAACCATCAGCTCAGCAGCCCAGCAAGACTGAGTCTGTCAGTTCATTTCAACAGGTCTCATAGCCACTCAAGCATCTGACATAATTTCTACAGGACATTTTTGAGCTCCTTGATGGAGGGCACAGAAATCAGAGATGTGAGTTACATTTTCATCTCAAATGAAAGTCTGATCACTTTCGTTCAACCCACCCCAAGGAAATGACAATATTGTATTTCCCAGAAAGCCCTCAAGGCCCACAGAACCTGACACACAGTAGGGCTCCTGCACGCGGAGGTACCAAGGCTCTTGCTATATTGTTCACAGAGCTTGGAGTTCAGCTGACCGCATTCAATGCCATATACGCCTTGCCAAAGCCACCCCCCCCTTTCAAAAAAAAAGGTAATGTTTCTGTATTCAGAACTGTGAATTCTGCAATTTACCGAAAGGTCTATTTTTAATATGGACAATGGTATTTCTGGCCAGTACTCCTGGTCTAGAGGTACTTCCCAGAAAGAGAAGAAAAAAGAAAAAAAGAGAGAGAAATAAGAGCAATAAAAAGAACCATTTCCACAAGAAGAACAATGCAATTGTGTAAGTTGCCTCGAAGCTCCCAAGGGAGCTACACATAATGATGTTTGGGTAATTTCGGTTCACACTGGATTGGATGATTACCAATGCAGAGGTGAGCTTGTGCTATGGGGATCTGTAGACATAGGAAGAAAATATGGCCCTAACCAGTTTGGCTCAGTGGATAGAATGTTGGCCTGCGGACTGAAGGGTCCCAGGTTCGATTCCAGTCAAGGGCATGTACCTTGGCTGGGGGCTCAATCCCCCAATAGGGGGTGTGCAGGAGGCAGCTGATCGATGTTTCTCTCTTATCAATATTTCTAACTCACTATCTGTCTCCCTTCCTCTCTGTAAAATCAAACTATATATATAAAAGCCTAATAAGCAAATTGTCCTCACGGGAGTTCGACCGGGAGTTCGATCGCTTGCTATGACATGCACTGACCACCAGGGAGCAGCATGGAATGAAGGAAGGCCCTGGCTGGCAGCTGGAAGGAAGGCCCTGGCTAGCAGCTGGAAGGCCCGATCAGCCTTGATTGCCGGCCAGGCTTAGGGACCCTACCCGTGCACCATATTCATGCACCAGGCCTCTAGTACATATATATATGGAAGAAAATATGGCAGGTACTTTGAGACCCAGCCGGTCGTCAGGGTTGAGGTGTACAGCTACATTAGAAGGAGGTCAATGTAAGCTCTTCCCTGAACTACCCTCTCATCAGCCCCTCACCCTGGATATGGACAGGGGTCTTCCCTGGGCCAAGTCCTTGGTTCCAGCACATGAATATTCTTTCTAGTAACCCTGCCTAGTAACCACGGTGTCTGGTCTTTCTAAAATACAAATCTGACCCTGTCGCCCCCTAACTCTGCAGCTAGGCCAGTGTGGTCACCTCCCTGTGCCCTCACACCTGCCTGCCTTTCTCTCTTTTTTAAATTTTTTATTGCAGTTTAATCTATATAACATGAAATACCCGGCATACTCTTGGGTATACACCCGAAAGAACTAGAAACAGGGACTCAGAGACGTGTACACCGATGGTCACAGCAGCGTTCTTCACACACGGTGCCAAAGGGCAGAAGCAACCCAGTGTCCATCAACAGGGAATGAATGTTTTTATTTATTTATTTACTTATTTTTTTTAATGTATTTCTTTATTGGGTTTCAGAGAAGAGGGAGAAGGAGAGAGAGATAGAAACATCAATGATGAGAGAGAATCACTGATCGGCTGCCTCCTGCACGCCCCCTACCGGGGATCAAGCCTCCAACCCCAGGCATATGCCCTTGGCCAGAATCGAACCCGGGACCCCCCAGTCCGCAGGCTGACACTCTATCCACTGAGCCAAGCTGACTAGGGCTCTTTCTTTCTTAATGCTAAATCAAATAATATAAAATATTACTATTCATGGCATCTTAGAGTCAATGAAATACAGCAATTCAGCTTTCTACTAAAAAATAATAACAGCATCCAAATAACCCCCCCCCAGGTGCACCCTTATCACTGTACTTATGACACTGTCTTGTGATCTGTTCCCACAGCACTCAGCCCTAACACCAATATTCTCTGAAAAAAAAACCGCACTTAAATTGGTTTAATGAGGTGCGTGGGGGGGCCTGAACCCACCCTAAACCCCCCCTAAAACTGGGAGCTTCTAAAAATGTAAAACAAAGAAAGTAATTTTCTCTTTTGCTCAAATTCGAACCAGCTCCTAATTACGCGGTGGCGGATCGACAGTGGCTGCTGACAGGGGAACCGCATTAACCCCAAGTTCTGTAGGTGAAAGCACCCCCAGGACGACCTTGAGGGTTTAACAGCTTTGCCTGTGGTGCTGGTGCCAAGGACGCCAAATTTCCTGATCAGCTGCAGTAAAGTTTTTTTTTAATACTAGAGGAAGGAAAATCCAGCCCCATTCCTGCAAAGACTGATTTTCCTTAGAGATCGTAGGAGAAGCGGGCTGGTTTAGAATTACTAGGGGCCATGCCGAACAAATCCAGATTCAACGCGTGAAAGCCTGCTTCCTCGCATGTGGTATGAATTCGTATGAATAGAACCGTTTTGACTGGAAGGACCGGGAGTTGGGGAAAACCAA